ACTATTTGTATACAAATTAACCAATACTAGTGGTCGCACGGTAGTCGAAATACGACTATAATTACTTTACTTAAATTATAAGTTTGAACATTATAAAGGGTCTATTATTAAAGACTATCATAGACCTCTTTAATAACAAATTTCGCCAAGGCTACACTATAGATAACTATTATTGAAGACAAACAGTATTAATCTATTCTCAATTTGACCACAGAGTTTAAAAATAAACAAAAGAGTACATATGCGTATGTGTGTGTCAAATACATGATAGTGTGTGTAATATTTTTTCTATTGATTTAATGTTTTGATTATCCATATACCTAATGTATTATTTTATTCACATCAAAATAAAGTTTAGCCTATTTACTTTACTTCAATGTGAATAAAATAATACATTATTAAACAACATTTAAAGCTATTGCTTCACCAGTTTTTATGTTTTTTATATTTCAATATTCAAGAATGTTTTAAAATTTCTAATGTTTCAATATTCCAATTACCATTTACGTCATCTGTTTAGCATATTAACCTCTTTTATGATTTATGTCATAAATCTTACATGCATAATAATAAAAAAATAGCATTCTGCATTTCTCTTCACTTAACACAAAAAAAAAAAAAACTCTATATTCTCTATAAGTGTAGGAAATTTCATACTCCTCCGTCCGCGCAATTGTCGTAAAAAGGGATACAAAGTTTTTGCTTCACGTATTAATATATAGATTAGGTGAACTGTCATTTCATCTGCATTTGAATTAATCCTTCATATTTAAGGCGGATGGAAGTGCGGTCGCGACTAGTATTGCCTGTTGGCTTATCGATATCGATGAGGTTCATATGATGCTGGTGTAGATGGACGAACATCATATTAACTCAACGTCACTCATCGCGGACTGATTGAGAACGCACCAGAACGAGTTAGAAATCAGAATAGTTATGATCGTTCGATATTAGTTCCAATTCATTTGGAATGCATTATGTTATGAATAATTTCCTTTCTCAAGAGCCCATTGTGCGACTCATTGTTAACGAGTGCCTTTGAAAAACTCGCAATGAATAGAACTGTAGGCTTTTGTTTAGTTATTTTGGTAGCGTCATTGTCTCAAAACAATAGATTTCTGATGATAATAAGATTCTAGAAGACCGAGAAGACCTAATAAGAAGGAGCGGGCTCGAACAACATTGCTCAAACAACATTAATGTCAAAATGCGGTTCCTGATAAGAAAATGGCTCACAGTAGAGACCAGACCAGAACGACTCCTACCTAAGTTCTTACAGTGAACGATGGCGTCACCAAGCCTACTGGGGCACTTATTAACAAGTATTAAAGTTAGTAGAAGCAGTGACTTCATTTATCTTTAATTATGAATTAAACGTGGTTAGTGCTGTATCTGCTAAAACTATTTAAAATTCTCTATAAGGTCATCGCAGGGATGGACCCTATGGAAATGTAATCGTCGCTGACACTTCAGAAAGGTCAACAATATGGCTGCCATCAGCGGGTACTGGATATCATTGACATTCAGAAAAACCGAATTAATTGATAAATCCCTGTGAAAACAGAACCCCTGAGATTTAGTGAGTCTAACGAATCTAGCACAGACATCCTAACCTCTAATACATAGTATGTTTTAATGAGTGTTACCACGTACTGTACATTTCGTTGCGGCGACAGAGTCAAAACATTGCATTCAATTACTTTACAATATTCGTATAAAAAAACCTGCATAAATGTGTCATGTCCGTCTCCAGTGTGCTTAGTTTGAGTTTTTTAACGTTCTCGCTAGCGTCAAAGTTAACTCAAATTTATATGGAGTTGGAACGGTTACCTTCGTTTGCCGTTAGGAGCGTTGTTCCAAGTGCATACAAATTTGAGTTAACTTTTACGCTATCGAGAACGTTATAAAACTCGCACTAAGCACACTGATGTTCCCACTAATATATCTCTCTTGATAATGATACAACGACTTATCAGAAAACTAGTTTTGGACTTTCTGACACAAGTTTATCAACGTATCTTCTTTTGATGACAGACTGTTTTAATTACTTATGCGAACTTGTTTTCATTTAATATATTTTATATAAAATTGTTATCCTTTATCCAGCTTGGATACAAATATCATGGAACATATATTCTTTTCCTCAAAGCAGCGTTCTTGGTATTACTTGTGTGAGTATGGTATATAGCTATTTAAGAAACACCACTACATGTCGACTAATTATCATTTTATAAAAGCTAAAAATATTACATTAAAAAACAATAAAACATTTAATATTTTGAACTATAGTTTATCGCGAAACACGTACTGACGATCTGATATAATAAATTATATCATTTCATGTTCCTTACATTCACAATACATCGTCCATCATGTTTATTACTTCCACCTTGAACGGGCTACAGTATCGCCATATTATTAATTATTGCCAATTTATAAGTAACAATTTACAAGTTCCAAAATAACTTTACAAAAACTAAGCATTAAAGATTCTCAAGCTGCTATAAATCTAAATCAAATAGTGAATTACTATTCAGCTCTGTAACGCCGCGCCGTGCGGACCAATTTAGTCGGTTTGAAGGGATATCTCAATAGATTTCGACACCTACCTCACGGCACTCACGTGTGTTGAGTATGGGCTCCGATTGCTGCAATACTCCCAGGTCTGGAGCCGATACACATCCACACCAAGACTATTGAACTCACCAATACAATGATAATAAGGAGCATGAAGAAGTTCGGTGTAAAACCACCCTAAAACAACATATTTTTATTTGTAACATTATATTTGTATTTTATAAAATCTAACTGAACCGCTTTCATCTAGAATTTTATCAAATGTCAAGTAATGTTATGAAGCAAATTAAAACTATGATCAGAATAAACTTAACCATAATGATTGACAACTCAATATTTAAGATTCATTTTAAGTATGGATTTTTTTCTTTTATCTATATATTAATACGTGAAGCAAAAACTTTGTATCCCTTTTTACGAAAATTGCGCGGACGGAGGAGTATGAAATTTTCCACACTTATAGAGAATATAGAGAAGTGCACAATGCTAATATTTTTTTTAAATAATGCATCAAAGATACATTAAATAAATAAAGAAAACATTACACACACTACATACCCATGTATTTGACGCACACACGCATGCATACTATTAAATTTATTGTCAAACTTTTGTTCTTGACGTCTGTTGTCAAATTAAGAATAGATTAAATATTGTTTGCATTTGTTAATATTTTTTATAGTGTAGTCTTGGCGAAATTTTTGGTTATAGAAGTATAAAATACAATCATAATAGTGTAAAAACTTACAATTCCAATTAATTATAGTCGAATTTCGACTGCTGCGGGACCACTAGTCATGTAAAATTGGCCTTTTATTCTAGTAATAGTGGGGAACAAAGTACATCTGTCTCGAAAATTGTTTATTGATAACACTAAAACTCGTTCTGAATAGCCAATCAATGAAAATATAAATTTATTGACCAACAAGAGAAAATGATACTACACTCTTTTATATTTCAGGTTTAGATGCAACGACACGTAACTTTTTTTAATTGCCTCTTTCTTTCATTTCAATATATTCAAAATTCAAATAAAGTTTTATAACGGAAATACGCCGCTATTAACATTGTTATAGTGCAAATCATGCACAGCGAATGTACTGTAATAACGTTTGTAGTGATATTTATGATATTATAGTCACTTTTTGCTATTTAGAACTACACTTTACTCATCTCTAAAAAAGCTTTACAATAGCACAAAAGCTACTTTTCATAAATATCTCAAAATCAATTGAAACAAACATCTACCACAACTACCTTTATTAATTGAAGTTGAAGTAGTTGCAGTTGACTTGGAAACGGTTATTGAAATGATTGAAAATAATAAAGTAAGAATTGACATTAAACGTAAGATAATCTTTACAATTACTAACGTTAATAATCTTAATGTGACGAAACCACCCATAAAGACATAAAACACGTTGTGATATTCATTGCAGGAAGCATTGAGCTGGCGTTGTAACGCTTTGAAGTCTGGAAAAAACAGCTAATACTGTTTCTGAGTAATCATATTACTCACGGATAAATGCTGATACGTTTTTAAGTCAAGCTCACATAAAACAACGCTAATTAACATAAAGTCGTTCTCAGAAATGTTTAGCTAGTCATCTGTTTGCTAGAATTATTAATTTAATTTTTGATGTCATCATTCACCTTCTCATGCGACACGGATTTCGCTTTGACATAGTTTTCATTTTTCTTTGCTTTCACTTATCAGATATTAGTGTGTTCGCAGCGCTGCCATACCCTTGATATACCCACCACTGTCTGCCACGAGTGCCACGTCGTCGGGTTAATACTTTAGCTGGTTATGAAATGCAACGTAAAATCAATTAAACACCAGTTTGCCTTCCTTTAGCTTTATCGTTCGTTTTTTATTGAAGTAAGGTTGTTTATAAATGGTACGTAAGAGCGGAAATTCCAATGCCAAACGACATCAGGAAAATGAATATTTTAAGTTTCTCTTTTGTATGCGCTATCTCTTACTTGTGTTGATGGTTCGATTTTAAGTGGTAACGCTGTCTATACTTACGTCCCCGAATTACGTGTAATCCAAATTGAGCATGTTCTTATAGCACTAGCACTATCACGAGTGAAGGAGCACTAGCATCACACAAGAGTATCACTGCCGCACGTCTGCCGCACATCTGCCGCACATCTGCCGCACCGACACCGATGACACGTATTTAGGTTAAATAAAACGATCTCATTAGGATTTTTGTAAAAAGATAGTTATATTTTTGGCATTGGACTATGACACAATAATACTATGATATGCTAAGTAAGCGTTTTATAAAGACTTTTACATGCCGAATATTCGTTAATCAGACTATTCATCAGAGGACTCTTTATAATNTCTGCCGCACATCTGCCGCACCGACACCGATGACACGTATTTAGGTTAAATAAAACGATCTCATTAGGATTTTTGTAAAAAGATAGTTATATTTTTGGCATTGGACTATGACACAATAATACTATGATATGCTAAGTAAGCGTTTTATAAAGACTTTTACATGCCGAATATTCGTTAATCAGACTATTCATCAGAGGACTCTTTATAATATATAATTTTAACAAACATAACCGCTTACAAAATGAGAGTATAGATAGGTTACTAATCCACCGCTCGGATTGCTCTAGAGCTCATCACCTATTCCAAAACATAACTATGTCTAGTATTATTCGTAATATTTTCTCACTTTCATTTTTTTACTCTATAGGTACATATTTATATAATACAATTTTGTCGAACATAGTATAATTATCGATATGATAATATCTTACACAGAAACACGCAACGAATCGGCGACGATATAATAATTTAGTCGTGAAGCGTCGGGTACTGCATTTGCGAATAAATATACTTGCGTCGGTGGGATGCACCGGGCACCGGGCACCGGGCCGGGCGGCGACCGTCCTCGGCACAACAACACATAACTCAACCTTTAAACAATATATATCAACGCACATACGGTACTATTTGGTATCGGGTTCGTCCGCGGGAGCCGCAGCGCGACACTTACACTAACTAGTTACAACGAAACATCACAGACACCGCCCGGCTCCGCGCCGGCTACATGTAGATCGGCAGCTGCTGCAACGCGCGCTTGTCGAAGCGGTCGTAGGGCACGGCGGGCGGCTGCAGCGCGCGTGCTATATCACAGTCCAGGGCCTCGGGCGGCAGGTACGGGTGCGGCTTCAGCCGGGCCCTCGTCGCCAGCTTGCCGCCGCCGGCCGTCTCCGGCGCGTACGACTCGAAGCGATAGCACGGCCTCGCCTGCTGCTCCTCCGCCGGCTGGCGCTGACGTTGCGCCTGGGCCGGGGCCGGGGGCGGCGCCGCTGGAGCCGGAGCCGCTCGACAGCAGCGCCGAGGAGCACGAGGGGCCCGTGCGCGATTCGCAGGAGTGATGGCGGCCGCGGCTGCTGCATCTCCTCGCGGCAGGTTATTTACAAAGGGGACGCGCCGCAGGCTCTCGAGCCTCCGGAAGTGCGACGGATGAATCATGAGCAGAGGCTCAATCTTGACGCCCTGCGGCGGCTTGGCACAGTCGGGAAGCTCGTATTCGATACTGCAGTCTACGTGTAAAGGCACCGAGTAATCCCTGGGGGCTAGTGAAGCGGGACGTGCGTCCCGTCGGAAGCGGTCCGCTGCGGCGAACTCGGCCTCGCCGCGGGCGTAGCCCGTCATGGCGGCGCGCGGCGCCTCACGGCATGTGCGCCGCGGGGCGCGCGCCGATCAGCTGATTGTGGAGTGCAAGAGCGCGCAGACGTGCGCGCTGTACGATGTCGGCCGTGAGACTGCCGCGCGGCGGGGCGCGCCTGCGCGTCTCGTCCCGCGCNCCCGTCGGAAGCGGTCCGCTGCGGCGAACTCGGCCTCGCCGCGGGCGTAGCCCGTCATGGCGGCGCGCGGCGCCTCACGGCATGTGCGCCGCGGGGCGCGCGCCGATCAGCTGATTGTGGAGTGCAAGAGCGCGCAGACGTGCGCGCTGTACGATGTCGGCCGTGAGACTGCCGCGCGGCGGGGCGCGCCTGCGCGTCTCGTCCCGCGCCCCTTGCTTCTCCCCCTGGACTCACGGCGGCGGCGCGCTCATCCCGGTCCCGCCTCCCGCGGTGCGCGCCCGGTATCTCGCCCCTCCGACTGCGCGCCGGGAAGCTGACGTTGCGAGGTTTCGTCTGGATGGTATCTCGGTTAGCGGCGGAGGGTCGAATGTTCCGAGAGCGGACGTTGCTCGCTAGTTGAGGAGGGCGGCTGGTGTGCGGTGATGGCGGCGGGCGGCGGCGCCGGAGATTACCGACGGATCGATAAGAGCGCTCAGGTCGATGCGCGCGATGCACTGCGCAGCGGAGCGACACTTCGGGGACGCCGGTGACGCGACTGACGAACAGCTGACTACAAAGAACTTCAAAATATACTAGCAGCCGTCGCGCCTGCGTACCGCGCCTGTCAGTAGATCTCTGCCACAAAAACGGAGATACGTATATAAACGCCTTTCGTGCCATGGTTTAAGTTAGTGACAATTCCTCGTACATTAAACTCTTGAATATAAATAAGTAGAAAATCTGCAAGCAATGATAGGCAATAATATTCATAAAGCTGTTATAGGATTACAAACTTTAGGAAGTTCGGAAAATTTATCTCAAATTTCCTTAATCTTCAAATTCACTCAAAATTGCTATTATTAAGAGCAGTTTGATAATCTACCGATATTATATTCTATAATTGGTATGCAGCCCTACGGCACCGCGGCGTGGAGGAGTGGATTGCACGTCACCCGAGCCGAGCCGGAGCCGAGCGCCGAGCCTGCAGGGGACGGATTAAATAACACACACGCAACAAAGGACCGACTAGTTCTATGAACATGTACACAGCAACAGCTACAACGAACGATATTTAATGTTATTACATTTTAAGAGATGACAGCCGGCTAGCATTTCAGTAAAATCATATTTAAAACTGTTTGTGAAGTTTGCTGGTAGGACCTCTTGTGAGTCCGCAGGGTAGGTACCACAACCCTGTCTATTTCTGCCGGGAAGCAGTAATGCGTTTTGGTTTGAAGGGCGGGGCAGCCTTTGTAACTGTACTCTATTTGTATGTAACAGCATTACCTACTTAATAATAAAAGTTTATTTGTTGCGCATGTGGTTTGGAACTTGGTAATAAGAATTAACAATTACAAATTATGTAGTTTTAAAAAACACGCTTAAATAAAAACCCAACCACAATCCTTATTTTATTATTCTTTTGATACTGGTCAGGATATTAGAGTGACGTTATAAAATGACTGTATATTCAGTTAATGAGAGTGACCTTCAAATATTCCGTCACATACAAACTCACCAAGCTAATAAAAGCACGTTAAAAAAAGAGACAAACTAGCGATTTGGTTTGTTTACTTATTAAGGTACGTTTTCTTTCGGAGTACTTTCCTACTGAATGGATAGTCCAACCAGAGAACCGATTTTGATGTAGTTCGATATGGAAATATTTTCTACCCCGAGAAAAGTAAAGAAGGAACCTTCCTTTCATCCTACTTCTGAGAACGGATTCCCGCCCACGTGATGTAGTGTAACCCAGCTGAAGCAGGTGAACCCGCGGGCGAGGAGCTAGTATATAATAAATCAATAAAACCTTATGATTAGTTTTAAAGCGAACCGGTACCCGAGAATTGAACCCTAAAAGTGTTTTTTTTTTTTTCATCATCTTTATTTTACATTATTCGATTATTACGGTTCCGTAATAAAAATAGTAACTAGAGATGGCACACGGCTTTCTGAGCTTTGAATTTAAATTACTTTTATATTTATCAGAGTATTACAGTCGCAAAAGTAACACCGCTGTTTAAGCACTGTTTAACTATCGCGTGTACAGTATTATAAATAAAATTAAGAACATGGTATACACGTTATTAAACGTTCACGGACTTGTTTCGCTTATTATTTTTATATTATTTTGGTTCAATTTATATTAACATAAGTTCCTACAATGAAACACTGTTTCACTATGGATTGTACGACACGCGCTTTCTCTGTTTTGTTGTCAATGGGAAAAGCTCAATTAAATATTTCTCTACAAGCTTTCGTTAGCATTCGTTACTCATACCACCGTGCCACGATACTTACTTTTGTACAAAAGTCGTCGTGGCCTAAAGGATAAGACGTCCGGTGCATTCGTATCTAGCGTTGCAAAAGTTTTCGAATCCCGCAGGCGGGTACCAATTTTTCTAATGAAATACGTACCTATTAAATGTTCACGATTGATTTCCACGGTGAAGGAATAACATCGTGTAATGTAATAAAAAAAAATATATAATTTGCGTAATTTACTGGTGATAGGACCTCTTGTGATTCCGCACGGGTAGGTACCGCCGCCCTGCCTATTTCTGCCGTTACGCATGCCGGCGTCGTTGGTTCATGACGATCAACTCGACTACCTAGTCGCCTAGTCGTCCTTGGGGTGGCGCCGCAATCTGATTGTAGTGTTGACCACGGGAACCCCATACCCTTCCCGGGTTCTGATCTCGGGTGATAGAGTTCCAGGGGAGTCGTTTGGTGGCTAGGGCCTTAACCACAGTTTGCTCCCAACATTTGCAGACCGTCAAGATGCACATTTTTTTAATTTTTTTTTATTGCCCTTTTAGGCAGACGAGGAGCATACGGCCCACCTGATGGTGAGTGATTACCGTCGCCCGTGGACCTCAGCAATGCCAGGGGCAGAGCCAAGCCGCTACCTACCGAAACACATACCCCGAACGTCCCTTAGCTGCGGTAACCTCGCATGAGTTTCGTCCCCCTGCCTGAAAAAAGTCCACGGTAAGGCTCTCTACCCAACTACTGTAATAAAGCATATTCTAATATTTAAGCAGATTCGAATATATGCTTTGTTGAACTAGAGGCTCTCGTGATACAGCCGGGCCGAGAGCTGTAATTCAAATTAAATGACAACGTTTTTTAATCAGCTAGGTTTTTACAGATTCTCTCAGATCGTCGTGACTCCACTTTTACTACCGGTTTCATCTCTCACTGCAGGTACAATACCAGCCTTCAACCGTTATTGATTATTTCGTCCGCGCTGTAAACCCGCAGAGGATGTCCCCGAGGGATTCCGTTGCCGTCCTCTTGAACCTAACCACTTTCGGTCCCGTTTTGATTTATTCATTCTTCGATTGAGAACTGATGTTGTGATTGAATCTAAAATACACTTAGCTTCGTGAATTGAACGTGGGAAGCTTATGTTAGTGTAGCCAAATGTCAGCAAACGTGCTCCCTGGCCCCGTGGGGTTCAGCGCGGACTAGAGGCAAAGCTTGGATTTTAAAGGCTCGGTTGTCTTGAGTTGCGATAACGTAAATGTACTCGCCTACTTTAAGACAAGACCTTAAAGCTTCAACTTTATTGCGTATTATTTTGGAACGAAGTTCCTTATGGGACGATGCGGAGGGGTACCCTAACCGGGAAAAAACGTCCGTAGCGTAAGATTTTTATTAGTAATACACACAGTGTACGACTTAGCTTTGTAATAACGTACAAAAAATAACATATTTTTATTATATATTTTTATAAATCATTGTGAATAAAATAAAGTTGATTACTTTGTAAAGTAGTTTTTTTTTTATCAATAAACAATCATAATAAAAAATGTATACCCGAATAATTATTTTCTTTATATCTCGAACAGAACTTAAAATTAATATTTTTATAATAAGGAACTTCGTTCCTATCCGACGACACCACACTTTTTTTTATAGCTCATGCCGTCACACGGGTCGATTATGGAACTTCGATTGCTTGAATGACTGTCCTGCCTTCATGCTGTACACACAATACACAGCTTGCGCACTGGAGCTGGTATGTCTCCCAGTTTGAGCCCCGTGAGCTCACCTACTAGCTCAGTGAATCTAGAATAACCCTCGAGGTTACTAGAATAGGTAGAAAAAAAAGAGCTTATAAAAAAACTACCAAGCTCAAAACTCCGTCCTTATTTTCAGTAATGTCTTATGCAAGCGAGTGTAAATATAACATGAATTAATGGCATAATGGTGAGATTTTATTAATAATGATTAATGAAAAATGTCTCAGTGAATGAATTCGATAAGGCTTTGCAGTAACAAAATTTAAACGCTTTTCCGTCTATCATTTACCTGCGAGAATACCTGTGCACACGTAGCTACAGCGCTCGAGAAGTTGCAGCTAGTCGGTGAACATAATATATTATGAATATAATACAACAATATTCTTATTAACCAGTTGTTTTCTACTACTAGGCCATCTTTACTATATATGTTGCAAAAAAGACGGATAAAAAAACTATAACCCCGCCACGGAAAATATTTTTAAAGAGTAAAAATTTCTAAATCGTTTTTTGGGGAAAAGAAAATGAACTAAAAAAGTATAATAGTCAAAAGTTGGTAATTATTCAACGTTATCTTATTGGGCATCGTTGCCTTCTCATCCAATAGAAACCGAGATTCCTTGTTATAATATTCTCTTTGAGGTGTTATCAACGCATAAAATAGAACAGTAGCATCCAGCGTGTACATGGATAAAAAGTAATACAAAAGAAAGGGGGTACAACTCGTCTGTGTCGAAGTCTGACATTAACCATTTCAGTAGTAGTAGTACCAAGTAGTACTAACAACAATTGTACCAAGCTTCATCACAATCGAATGAACAGTTTAGGAATACATAGAGGACATTCAAACTGAATGAATCTCCTCTATGCATTCCATAAGTTCAGTACAATTTTGTTTATATACTTAACCTATAAATATATAAGATTATACCTGACTAGCATTAGTTTGGCATAGACTAGCCAAAGTGTATTCTCTGCAAATTGTATTCTTTACTATTTGTTGAAACTTCAGAGAATCACATAAAGAAAACAACATAAATAGTACAATCGCACAAAGGGAGCTTAATAAAGTTCACACCTGACTTTTCATACAGCAAAACAGATACAAAGTAAAATAGGAAGGGAGAGAATTGCCAAGGGCTTACCCCCAAAGACGCCTCCAAATCCGACCCTATTTAC